TGCTTCAGGAGAAAGAAAGCGACCAATATTTAGATCAGAAGAAATCAAGAACGGGAAAAGTGTAGCTTCTCTGAGGGGCACTGCACAGAATTGGAATCTGCTGTATGAGGGTTGAGTGCTGAGAGGACGGGGAGGCTTTTTGGATGGAATCGGAAGAGCTTGTCAGGTTGATGATTTGGCAGAAAAGCAAATGTACGGATACAAGTGACACCACCAGCACATTGTGTTGAAGTGTTTTGTGCTCCTTCTCTGATCTTTTTCAGATAATGGAGGAAGGGAGAGCATACGTTGCGTGCCCGCAGCTCAATTGCCCGATAATTGTTGATGACGAGAAAACGTTGTCTCTTCTGAAGAGCGAATGCGCAAAGAAAAGATATCGTCGTTTAATAATCAACAGTTTTGTGGAGGTATCACACGTCAAAACTGCTAACTCTCTCATTTATGGCGGTGCCTCTGACGAGGCAGCAGCCATCTTGTGCTGACCGATATCCTATCATTCTTAAATTATTGGACTAATTACTGTTCGTCAAAACTATGGTTACACAAGTGTGTGTGTGTGTGTGTGAAGTGGACGAACACTGTAGTGATGTTAATGGTGAGTGGTGAAGAAGAGAATAACGCGAAATGACTAAAATTTACTATTACCACATTCAGTGCGATGCGTAGAAAATTATACAAATTCAAATAACACTTTTTGCTCTCTCTCGTTCTCTCCCTCTCTCTCTTTCACTCTCACGAGAAGGGCTTGGCAAGGCTTGTCGAAGCTCTTCACTAATTTTACGAGTGTATTATCCTTGAGCGAGTCGCTTTAATTTTTATTAGCATCACATGAACTATTTAAATTTCAGGCAAATTTTTTTTTGGCCAGAACATTTCTGATGCTTATCTCTGACAACTAGACAATTTGTTCGCTGCCTTCAGTTTGTTGACTGAAAAAAATTTTAAATGTAGCGTTGTGCGCCGCTTCTCCCTTAGTCTCTCCAATATTTCGACGCAGTTTTGGTTTTTAAGCAGACCAAATGCATGTGCCTTAGCTGTGGAAGGGGCATGTACTGAGGATTTGATTTAGTTTGGCACAGAGAGTTATTTTAACTTTTTTGATTTCTGGCTCGAAGGTTTTAGCCGTTTTTATGCGTTTCTTGCAGCTATGCAATGCAGAAAACGCATATTGACGAGAGGTTGTCTGTATGCGTGTGTGTCTGTGTGTGCGCTGCGCGTCTGTACCGATTTTTTCAACTCGGGACTCAAAAGCTATAGGGCTGAAACTTTGGGAACTTAATCTGCATGCACGTATGGGCCCCCATCTCCGAGACGGGTGGTCTTACCCGCGTGGTGCCAACGTAAGAGCCCGCCAAAGTTTTTTACCGGTAAGCTGCTAACTCGGGGACCAGAGTTGCTTGGAGCTGAAATTTTGAATATTCCCCGTCTAACTAGGTATTAATGGGCTCAAACCCAGCCGCCGGAGAAGCGTGGTACCCACATACGGGCCCGCCAAAATTTTTTTTTGGGTAAGTTCATAACTCGGGGATCTGGGATGCTAGAAAGCTGAAATCTCAAGGGGATGTTCCCCATCCAAGTAGGTATTAATCAACTCAAACCCAGCCCCCTGGTATGCGTGGCACCGACGTACGGGCTCACCAAAGTTTTTCTCGGATAAGTTGCCAATTCAAGAAATTGAAAAGCTAGAAAACTCTATTTTTAAGAGGATGTTCACCGTCCAAGTAGGTCTCAACGAGCTCAATTTCAGACATCGGGCATGCGTGGTACCCACGTGTGGGCCCGCGAAAGTTTTTTTCCAGTAAGTTGCTAACTCAGGAGCCAGGAAGGTTAGAAAACTGAAATTTTAAGGGGTGTTCCTGCCAGTTCCGGCGGCCGGTTTTAATCTGTGTAGCTAGAAGCATTTGGCGAAAAAAACCGATGCCGGTAGCGACAAAAACTGCAGAAATTATGCCAAAAATGCATCTTCGCACGGTCAGCCCGTGCGTTGGCCAATTAATTGGACCGATATCATGTAATGCAGTAAGTGCTGGGTACTAGACGTGGTCACTGAGACAGTTCGTTATGCTCTCTTGCTTTTCAGTTTGTTTTTCAGTGCAACGGTTTGCTACGGTGGTGTCCAGCTCCAGACTGCGGACGAGTCATCAAAGTGGGACATTCGGAAGCGCGGCCGGTGCAGTGCACGTGTGGAACAGTGTTTTGCTTCTCCTGTGGACATGAGTGGCATGAGCCAGTGAATTGTAGGCTTCTCAAGTTATGGATTAAGAAATGTAACGATGACAGTGAAACAAGCAATTGGATTTCTGCGAATACCAAAGAATGCCCAAAATGTCAGGTAATTGTTTTTTAGAAATAACAAACCGGATTTTATGCGACACAGCTGGGTTAATTTTTTGCCATGGATGGTGGAATTCAGGAGTTCAGTCCTGGACTTTCAGCAAGAGATCATCGTTGCGTGTCATTACTCAAGC